TGTCCAGTTTCCATATCCATGCAATGGTCACTGAGCCAGTAAGATGCACCATGCGCTAGTGTTGTGGGCTGTGTTGTGTCAGTGTGTCCCAGTGGACGAGTCGTGCTGTACTCTGGTATCTGTCTGCTTGCCCCAAGCCCTTCCTCACCAGGCGACTCCACCAGCGGTATGGTCTTGACCGAGCTCGTCTCCAGCAGCGTCCTCAGGTCCCTGTAGCTGGAGCGTGACGAGATGAACTTCAGCTTCGTCACCATGATGTCCTCCACGAAGATATTGTATTTACTGAGCGGCAGATCGAGAAACAGAGGTTAAGTGCAGTCCGGTCTCAAAGGGGGCGCCATCCGGTTTCTCACCTTAGAAAATGGGTCAGGCTCCACCCGACTGGAGCTGGAGTGGAGCCAGCCTCCTCTCACAAAAGGATCATAGATCACTGAGACAGGCGTTTGACGCTCGCCATCTTGGCTCAAAACCTCTTCCTCATGAACCCACACATAAGCAACCGAAATGAGCATGTTGGACCTAACCTGCAGTAATGACCGTCCTTAAATAATTCTCATGCCTGGCACTTCTGAAGCACTCTTCATTTCAAAGACCCCAGAGCTCCCTATGTATAAGAGGGGTCCCACACTTAACCTGGAACACACACAGCAGGCGATCTGTCCCAGCAGCTCCTCTGTACAGCAGATCAAGGGAAGCAGGGAGAAACTGCTTCACCAGCTGAATTAAGGGGGAATTCTATGGAGGCCGACTGATTCTCAGGATACCAGTTTAAATCGAATACTAAAGACAAGGGCCTCCTACAGCACAGTGTCCCAGATCACCCTGATGCTTTGGAAATTCTACTCCAGAGGGAAGAGCACCCCCTACTGGTCCACCGACACCACTGTCAGCTGCAGCCTGGTTTTCTTTTAGAGGCCTCCCTTCCCAGGACTGTCCAGGATGAGCGTGGGTTACTTTCCGAGATCTGATGAGATCGGGCTACAAGGTGCTTCCAGAACCAAAACAACTTACAGGAGAACACCAACGCGATCCCCCATGACCTTGAATTATGCGATCGAGATTCCCACATGGGGAAATGTTGTCGGACGAGCCCCGCCCAGGGTGAAGCCCCTCTCTGATGAAGGGCTCTCCCCCGCTGTCTGCTGGCCCCGAACGCGCCCGGACTGCAATGACTACCCTTGACCACGACCGGAGCGGCACTCCACACGGCTCAGCCTCTGACCTGAAGTGCCCCCAGCCCAGCTCGGGCAGGTAGGGCAGCTTCTTGACCTGGATGATGGAGTCGTACAGCGAGGGCTGCAGGCCCTGCGCCACCATGTTGGCCAGGATGACCGCCACCATCATGGGCAGGATGTGGGAGATCTGGCCGGTCAGCTCGAAGCAGATGACCGCCGTGGAGACCGTGTGGGTGACCGCCCCGGCCAGCGCCGCAGCTCCTGGGGACGAGAGGAACGGGAGGTGGGTGCGGGCGGGCAGACTGGGCGCCGGGGTTGGAGGCGCCGGTGGAGAGAGGGGGGGAGGAGAGGCGGAGGCAGAGGCAGGAGGCAGGCGGCGAGAGAGGCGGGGTCTCACCGATGACCGCGTAGCCCCCCGGCAGGATGCGGTACACGATCCCGTCGAAGAGGATCCCGTTGGGGAAGAGGGTGGCCATGATCTCCCCCACCAGTCGGCCGAACGCCGCCCCTGAGAGGGAAGGAGGGAGAGAGCGGGTGAGGCGAGGAAGAGAGGGAGCAAGGGGGGTGATACGGGGAAGGAGGCAGGAAGGGACAGAGGGGAAGACTCACTGTGGGGCGAGAGAGAGAGGACAGGAAAACAGGAGATCAAGGGAGACATAAAAAGACACAGAGGAGAAGAAGAGAGGGACAGATAGCAAAAATCGGAGCAGGAAAACAGCGGCACATTTGGCCCTCGTTGATTATTACCTAGGATGAAGACGGGCATGAAGGCTCCCGAGGGAATGGGCATTGTGGTTGAGATAGCAGACATCCAGAACTGAGAGGGAGAGAGGCAGCTCGTCAGAATGACAATGAAGCCGGCACTGCAATCGGACTAGCCAGTCTTCGGGACCTGCAGCACTAGTGCAAGCCCAGGAGCATGCTTCAGTTACTGTGCCCGCTGTGGTCGCGCCACTCAGGAGGTCTGCATGCCTTGTTTCCACTTGGGCTTTAGTTATGTGACAAGAAATCTTCTTGGGATGGAGCGCTTCTTGTACGATTTATCTTGAAACAAGGCGGAGTTGCTCTGCCTGCTTCCCGAGGCTGTGTGGATTTCTGCAAGCCGCACAGGGCTGACGTGACGAATCACAGAAGGGCTAGCGCCGGACACACGGCTACTGACACGCACAGGTGCAGGCTGGGCACACCTTGTTGACGAAGAAGAGCAGGAGCACGATGAAGACATTGATGTGGGGGTTCACCCAGGCAGATGTGCGCCCTAGATTCTGCTGTGATCCCGAGAGCTTAGTCCAGGTCAGGTTGTCAAACAGAGAGTTAATGCACTCCCGGGGCATCAGCTAGGAGACAAAACAATAAAGACCATCATATAGACTCTTATAATATAGGTGAAGGCACACCTAATACAGAAACAGATTTATACAGACCTTTATACAGACCATAGAGACAAACCTAACCCACAGAAATTAATACAGACCCTGATATAGACCTTAAAGACACATCTCACCCACAGAGATTAATACAGACCCTAATATAGACCCTAGAGACACTCCTCACACACAGAGATTAATACAGATCCTAGAGACACACCTCA